GGGAAGGCAGCCAGTCTCTGCCCCTGGCGGCGCTGGCAGCGGCATCAGCTGGACCACGCCGGCTATGCCCCAGAGCCAAAGAAGTGTTTCTGTTCCGTCAGTGCAATAAACATAAGTGCATCAAACATAATTTAACTGGCACAGTTAGCTTATAATTATTGTAGGTCAGAAACCTCAGGGATAACCACACTACAGCAGAAGAATCTCGGAACAAGCTACTGGCTGCTTTGCAACTAGTATGAGCCTGCAGCGATAACTGGGATGCATGCCGAGCAGCTTCTACTACATCGCACACCCCTGCTTTAGAGAACAGCCCCTTCAAAGCAGTACAAGTCACGGCTGAGCACTAACTAAACCTACAGCATCTGGTATTGCTTGCATAGACCGATGGGCATCAGGGCCAGGTCCCCGGCCAGACGCTGTGGAGTCAGCGCACGCCTCTCTCCTGCCTCAGCACAGGGCTCACTGGTGGCATAAAACAGCCGCTGCTCTAGTCGAAGCAGGGCAAGGACCTCACCAGAGCCCCTCAAGGCAAAAGAGGGCTCTTTTCCACTTCGGCCTCCTGGACAACGTGCTCTGACCGCAGCAGCACGAGGGGCCCTGGCTGGCTGAGCCTTTGCTCAGAGCACAGAAACGCAGGAGAGCAGAAGTGCCGGAAAGAAAAATGTCCTCTCTCTCCTCTCCCCCCATCACGAACAGCATTCCCGCACCTGCTTTTAGCTACACTGAAACAGCACAGCCACCAGGAACAGGAAAACCTGACATAAGGAATTAAAAGGCAGATGGGGCGGGGGGGGAAGGCCCTTTCCCACCCGCAGGAAGCACATGTGCGTCCGTGCGCGTGCGGGGAGACTGGAAGACTGCCGCTCCCACTTGCTCGGCCCACTCTGCTCATGGAGAGGGGAGAGCAGGCAAAAAGCAAATCTCACGCGCTCCCCCTTAAACGCCCAAGTTTGCAATTATGTACAAAAGTCACTTCAGTCCCAATCAAGAAGTGCACGTGAGGCAGGGGAGGCGTTTCCTGGAGGACAAACAGGAGTGAGAACAGGAATGATGTTCAGAAAGAAAAGTATACAGAAAAGATAAAAGAGCATTAATATTTTCCATTAACTAGATGTTCGAAAAAGAACAAAAAAAAATTCATTTTATTTCTAATGTGTGCAATTAGCCCAACACTTGCAACACACTCTGATTGAAGAGCTAAATAAAAGTACCGCTCCCCACCTGGCTCTTCAGTGTGTTGCGATTACAGCCACTTAGCGGAAAGGAAAGGCTAAACACGTATTTCCTAGAAAGAATAAGCAAGATAGCTGTGGTATAGCGACATGGAAAGAGCCATTTGCCTACAGCAAATGAGTCTATGATGTCATCCAAAAACAGCAGCAGTGTTTAAAGGTGAAAGAAACACCCTTGGTCCTGACACACATGTCCTAGGAATGTCGGTCCTCAGCAGCACCATGCCACATTGGCAAGGCTCTGTTGTGCTCACATTTTTTGCTTGTTTGGTACTGGCTCCTGGGTTGTTTTTACTCCTCCGTCCATACCAAAACAGAAGCCAGCAACTTCTCTTCTTTCTTCTACCACTACTGATGCTGGGAGTTGGGGTTACCAAAGGCGCACACCAGGACCAGCGCAGGAATCCCTGGCCTCCTTAGTGCCAGGGGATGGAAGAACGGCAGCCCAATCCACGGGGAGGAGGGGAGAGAAAAGGAGGGAGAGAGGAAAGAAAGAAGGGAAAACCTCTGTGCTGCCAAGCAGCCAGTCTTCAGTGATGATGCTCATGTTCCGATTTTCCCAGGAATTCCCTAGAACAGGACACACGACACATGTGTGACTGTCAGGGTCTGAGTACAGCTACAGGGAATAAAAAGGTCTGAGCCTTGCTCTCCCCCATCAGTGGCTCCCGCCAGGAGAGGGAAACGCAAGCAGCAGAAGTAGCTGCCCTGCAAACAACCCCTCCAGAGCATCCGGCTCACTGCAGAAATGAGCCGGAGAAGGGGGTGCCCTCCCCGCTTCCTGTGGTTTCCCTTTCCAAAGCCAGCTTTCCAAGAAGCTGGAGCACTCCGTTTCTGAGCTAAAACCAGTCCGAGCAGCCCACCCATCCTGGAGGCCAAAGGGGTTTGCAGAAGATCTGCCCAGCACAGGCGCCTGTTGCACAGCTCTCGCTCCCAGCTGCATGCCACGGCACCCCCCCCTAAAGCTGCGAGCACCAGCCCCCACTGGAAGAGACCCTGCAAGCTGGGCAGTTACCGCAGTATTCGAGGTAGCTCTGGACTCCTGTAGATGTACTTGTGCCGGTAGCCGAGGTCTGTGTGGAACGGGACGAACTGCACCTTGTAGTCTTGGAAACTCCGCGACGTCGCGGCAATGTTGTAAAGCTGAGGCCGGGGGGAAGAGGCAGGGGAGGGGCACATGTCACTCCAAGCCAGTAAACCCCCCTCCCCCTCAAACCAGCACCCTGTTTACGAGTGGGTTATGGGCCCCGGCTTGACCAGCCTTGTTGGCTCTAGCTTGGTTTCACCATGATTTGCCACCCCCAGCACCGTAGAATTTGTAGTCCCTTTGAGCTGTGCAGCTCCGTGCACTCCCTCCTGGTGCTGTCTTTTTGTCTGGCTTTATACAACATTCCTGGGATGTTGTTCTATCCACACCGATCCCGCCCACCAGATCAGTTTGCAGAGCCACACATGTACCTTCTTTCCCAGATGAAATGGTACCACAGGGTCATCCTCAGCATGAAGGATAAGCAGGGAGCAGGAAATGTATTTCACACTGTAAAACAGACAATGTCGCCGAGGCTCAGAAGAACCCCTTTCCCAGACCTCACAAACCAGAGCATTCAGGTTAGTTTTCTGGAGTGAGAAATGCAGAGCTGGTCCATCTTAGCTGGCTGCGTATGAGTGATTTTGACTGTGAGACTTATTAGAAATAGAAGGAATTGTTATTTAGGGAAGCCTTACATTCCTCTCCTTCCCTGGCCATCTGGAAGCAGCTACAACCTACAAAACCCTGGCTGCTCTCCCAACCCCGTATCAGCTCTGTCAAGTGACACCGGAGCTCAGGCAATCAGCAGCAGGCGGATTGGATGCATTCTCCTCCCTTCCCAAAATTACTTCTGCCACAAAGAGCTCCGTACTGACGTCAGACAAAGCTAGTTAAAAAGAAAGGGCATGCAAACAATTGCAGGGTTTCAAAAGAGCGTGCCATGCTAGAAGAGTGGGCTGGCCCTCCATGAGCGCCCAGGGCTCTAGCGCCAGCACACTTGGATTCTCAAAGAAACTGCAATGACAAACATCCTGCGGGTCATTAACTGCAGCTTAGATCTCAAAAGCACTAATACCTGGACACTGCTAGCTTAAGCTATAGAAAATTAACTAGTGAAAAGCATCCTTGGAAGAACTCTTTGCTGCTCAGACCAGGGAAAAGTGGCTCACCCCACTGCAGGGCAAGGTCTCCAAACTCATAAACGCTCAGGCTCTTGAATGAAAGTCTCAGAGGAGACAATGTTACTACGCACAGGGTGTGCATACTATGTACTTAAATGTTTTTTTGTAAATGCACAACAGACAGCTCTTCCCAAACTTCCAGTGTCCTGATGCTGCTGTTTAATGCGTAACATACATTTGAAAGGCACAGATCACACGGATCACGTTAGCAGATCCCTGGGCAGTTTCTGTGCTCTCCTTTGCATCTTTCCTCATTAAAAAAACAACTAAAGCAGTCAAAAAAATCACAGTAAGAGAAAGAGCTCCACAGTGCAATGCCATGTTGCACCCACGACTGCCAGAGCTGCTGAAAGTCCTTCAGAAAGTTTAACGCTTCAACAGCCAAGGAGTAGAGCGTGCAGTCCCATGTATATCCTCCCTGGTGTACGCCCTGGCCCGCTGCAGCCATGACTGAAACCCCAGCAAACAGGGAACTCACTCACTTCTCATCATTTGCAAATTTAATTCCACTTGTTGTGATGGGGTCAAGGAAGAACCAGTCAAACCCAGGGAAATATCTGTATATCTGAGAAAAAGAGTTTGTGTTAGTGGCCGGCATCAGCAGGACAGTTGCACAAAGAGCAGTAATTGGGCAGGGAAGCACCATCCCAGAAACATCCCTTGGCTGCTGGCTGGGCTCTCTGCAGCGACATGGCACATTTCCACCACTATCTTTTTTACTTTCCTTTTTCAGGCCCATTTTATCAGCCTGCTCATGACCAGGTTCTCCAGGTGCTTGTAAGGCCAAAGCCTCTAGGTATCATGCTGCTG